TTTTATCATGGTAAATTATGAATTTGAAATCTTACAAATAATTATTATAATGAAACTGAAACTGAGTAGGTAATGATATCCAAAATAACAAAAAAAAATTTATATTTATGCCTTGCAAATATGTTGTTTTATATAAAAATAAAAATAATAATAAAAATATACCTGGTATAAATTAAAATTTATTGGCAAAGGTAATAAAATATTATATTTTTTACCAAATAAAACACATTATATAAATTTAATGGAATAGGACATATTATTCCACAACTTTATTTTGCCAACTTAATGAAAATTCTGGTTTATTTACATATTTCACAAAATATTCTCTAACATTTTTTGCTTCTGATGGAGCATTTCCGACTCCTTTTTTTTCATTAACATCTCCTAACATACAGTTTAACGTGTCTTCGATGTGAATTCCATCTCTACGACGCACAAAATTGTGTAAGACACAAGTCGCTTTGGTGATTGAAATAGCAAAATCCGGTTCAACTAAAATATTTGAATGAAATACTCTCCATTTATTTGATAAGATACCAAACGTACATTCAATATGTTGTCTCGCTCTAGACAAACGATAATTGAAAATACGTCGTTCATCATTTAAATTTCTCCCAGGAAACGGCCTCAATAAATGCTTGCTCAACGCAAAAGCTTCGTCTCCGACTAACACAAACGGCTGAGGAACACCTTGTTCGTCTCCGGGTAATGGTTTTTCACATGGAAAGTTGACACGGCCAGAATATAGTTTTTTACCAAAAGATGATTGTTTGAAAATATTACAATCACTTTCCTTGCCATATGACCCTATATCAATGACGCGAAAACAGTAATTGGAATCACAAATCCCCATAAGAATTATTGAGAAGAAATTCTTATAATTGTAGTAAAGCGTTCCACTTTTTTGAGGGCATTCAATTCTAATATGCTTGCCGTCTACAGCACCCACACAATTAGGAAATTGGCTTTTTTCAAAATATCCAGCTGCAATGTCTAGCCATTGTTCCGTGGTAGGAGGTGCCATTTCAATCGGGTGTAATTGTCTCCAAATAATTTCACAAGTCTCGCGAATAATTTTCGAAATTGACGAAACACCCATTAAAAATTCAAAATGTAGAGCTGAAAAATTTGTCCCGGTTGCTAAGTACCTAAATAAAACAACAATGTGTACTATATTATCAATCTTGTTGATTATTCGAATAAATATTTGAGTATTATTTGCATTTGAATACTATATTTTAGACAACGTTATAAAATATGTTTATTCTGAATAAAAATTCAGATTTTGTATTCAAGTACTTTTAACATGAAATTTATATATAATTAATTTTATATATATTCATGTTATTTATATTTTATTTATTAATTATATAAAATCATTGTACAAAAGAAATTTAAATTTAAATTTTGAATCCTTTGCTATAAAAATTTAAAGTTGATAATTTAATTAAACTTTAACTACAATAATATTTTAGAATGAATTAATACAAGCAGCTCTTAATATATTGTTACAATGGCAGTTGGAAAATCTTAAAAACACATAGTCACAATTTTATTTAAGTATTTAAAATTTGAATTAAAAAAAAAAATGGGTAAGTGGGTGTCAGTCAGCTGTACAGTAGGTTACATGTGAATCGCTGTAATGGATTGTGTTAAATTTAAATCCAATGATATAATATCATTGTATAAGAAAAACGATTCTGAGCGAAGACGGTCAGTCAGTCTATAATATCTTACTAAGTGTATTTGATGATATTATTGTGAACAAAGTAATTTTATAATTTTAGTATGATGCATTAAGTATTTACTACAGTTGATAAAAATTCATTTTTCCCAAAAAAATTACTTTTGAAAATGTCATTGCGTGTATATAAAATATAAAAATATACTCTAAAAGTTTCATATATCAAATAATATTTTTAAAATACAACAAAATGTATAAAATCGTTATTCTTGGTTTTAATATGTAATGTTGTCAAAATTAGAACTTTAAATGCTTATAAAAAAAAATCGTGCCTATGTATTTTTAAAAAGGTGGGTAAGTGGATGTCGCTCTGCTGTACAGTAGGTTACAAGTGGGTCACTGTATAATGGATGCTATTAAATTTGAATTCAATGATACAATATCATTGTATAAGAAAAACGATTCTGAGCGAAGACGGTATGTCAGTCTAGGTTTAATACAAATTATATACATATCTATGGTATTAAAAAAAAAATTGACCTATAATAAATTCCAAATTAATCATATCACATTATCACAATATCCATTAGGTACTTATAACACGTTATACATCAACATCAACAACAAACCCTGATACTATCATATATATATAATAGTACACTTTAGAAGTTTCAAGTAGGTACCCACGAATAATATTATATAATCACAACAAAATAACTAGGTTTTTTAATATGTAATTTCGTCCAAATTTTAACATAAAATGACTATAAAAGTAAACTGTGATTGTATATTTTTTAGATTTTTCGGTAAGAGAATTAACTACTTACGTGGAATCTTGTTTTAAATTTTCAATCCTTAGCTATAAAAACTGAACATTTTATAATTTATTAATTACGATGATTAATAATTTTCGAGATTTTGAAAAATTCTATCAAAATTCGATGTTAAAATGCTTATAAAAAAAAATTGTGCCTATGTATTTTTAATATTTTTCAACTGATATTGTAACAATATATCAGGAGCCTTGTATTAAATTTTTACACTTTTTGGCCCAACAGATAAAACTTAATTGATATTTATAGAAAAAAAAAACTAAAAAAATTGAAAACTGAAAATGTCCGTAAACGGCTCAAAAAGTGTCAAAATATTTTCAAAACTGTAGGGTGTATAGGAAATGCTAATATAAACATTCAGTGAAATTTTCATGTATCTACAGTAATTCGTTTTTTAATTACAACAAAAAAAGGAAATTGCCACATGAGAAATCGAGTGAATATCCAATGTTGTAAAAATTTGAATTTCAAACGCTCATAAAAATTTAATTTGACTTTCCGGTAGAAATTTTTTATTGATAAAGGTAGACAATCTTATGAGTAATCTTGTATTAGATTTTCAAATCTTAGATTTAAAAAGAAAAATTTTTACGAATTCTTAACTCAAAGTAATTTGCAAACTTTTGTCATTTTTACGTATTTTGTCAACTTTAAAATGTTTTTCATGTAGCTTTGAAACAATATATTAGGGGCCTTCTATTAAATTTTTAAGAATTTTTACCCAATAAATAAAATTTTATTGATATTTATAGTAAAAAACTAAAAAAAATTGGAAACTGAAAATGTCCGTAAACCGCTCAAAATAAGTCAAATACCATTTTTAAAAACATATTTTTTACGACACAAAAAACACATCATTGTTACACCCAAAAAAAATATACTAAAATATTACTGAAATAAATTACTGTTTTATAGTTCTAGAACTGCAAAAAAAATGGAAAAATTTGAAAGACAATTTTCGAAGAAAATGTATTTCTAAGTCTGGTATGGCTGCTAAAAGTACCAAATGTTATACTTATGCCAAAGTATTGGAATTTTTGCGTCCAACAATGGAAAACAGAAAGTAATTAATTAGGTCAAAGTAAAAATAGTATTTAGATATATTAAAATTTTTTTTTTTTTTGGTAGGACTGAAAGGAATATTTCTAGTGAATCGAGTAACGAAGAATTTAGTGACCAAGATAGTGAAAGAGAAGATGAAATATTGATGGTTGGCTTGAATGAGAGTGAAGTAGCTGTTCAATCTCCTTCAACCAGCAATATGTATGTTAAAAGAAAAGGTAAAAAAATAGAAAACTCCTTTGAATCAAGTGAAAACAATAATTTAACATACACCAATGTCACAGAGTCCCGTGAAACTGAAAGTAACAAACGTCCATACTCACCTACCATCAGTAAAAAATCCAAAACTAAAAGTACCAAAAATGAAACCGCATTTGAAAACAAATTGATTGACTATTTACGTAACAGACCAAGAGAAGAAACTGACCCTGACAAGCTATTTCTATTATCATTGTTGCCACAAATTAAACAACTCTCACAGGACAAAAAAACTCAATTATATATTAATTTTTTAAATAGCATTCAACAAATAAGTCAAATTTCTAATAATCCACAAACAGATTTTCATTCTTCATATTCTCAAGGTTATTCTCCAAGTCCCTCTCAGACACCATTAAATATACTCACTGACTCATCTCCTATTTCACACCACAATATTAATTCTCCTTATCAGTCTCCCATGTTTGCCCCTGTGCCTCAGCATTATATGCAGAATAAGCAAAATGTACAATTTTCTCAGGCTACCCATTCTCCTGTTAATCTACCCCAAAATCAGCCACATACTCAAACACACCACAACAGTCTTTCTAGCTATCACGAACATTCTTAATTAAAATACAAAATATATTTTATATATTGTTGAAATGCAATAATATTATGTTTGAAGTTTCATTTTTTTTTTTTTATATTAATTGTAAAATTTGTAAAATTTTATAATTTTATAATTTTTTTTTTTAATATTTAATATTACTTATATTGTTATAATAATATTATGTACATTAGGTACAATATTAAATTTGAAGGATCATTTTTTTTTTATATTAATATTTTTATTTAATATTGTAAAATACAATATACATATTATGTTTGAAGTTTCATTTTTTTTTTTTTATATTAATTGTAAAATTTGTAAAATTTTATAATTTTATAATTTTTTTTTTTAATATTTAATATTACTTATATTGTTATAATAATATTATGTACATTAGGTACAATATTAAATTTGAAGGATAATTTTTTTTTATATTAATATTTTTATTTAATATTGTAAAATACAATTTTAATTTAATATCATTTAACATTTTGTTGTTTTAATTATACGCGTTGTTTGTAGGTATTGAACTACAACTTATAAGTACAAGTATTTACTACATATATTTTTTACACTAAGCTTATACTTTGATAGTTAATTGCATACTTATTTACCTTAATGTAACGGTCAACCTTTCTTCAGGTGGAATAGATAAACGTAACACAGTATCTTGCTTTTGCAACTGTCTTCCAATCATATTTAACTGAATAATCAATTACAATTTAAATATATAATCAGAACCCGTTTTAAAATATATAATAATAATTTAGTGCAAGTTCTTTATACTTGTACAATACTTACCAGCTCATCAAATGTTTTAATTGACATACGGAAATATTTAAAAAACTCTTCCGGATATTGCCTCAATGTCATAAAGGTTACTTGAAACTGTCCTTCGCGCGGCCTTTTTAAGTTAAGTGGATGTACCCACCAACGACGTTTATTTTTTTTATCTTTTTTTTGTTTTTTATTCATTTTATACATCGAATACACTAGACAGACAGCTTCTACATCATCTAAATTGTTTAAAGCGTCCATTTTTTAATAAAAATCAAAAAATAATATTCCGTGGTCGTGTGATGGTATTGAACGAAACCCGAGTACTGAACGATTGCAAGTTGCAAGGCATGCAAGGTGAAAAATATTTTTCCCGCTTGTTTGAAAACCGCTAATGTACGCTACCGTAGGTGTGTAAGATATGAATTCAGCGTTTTAAACGCTGCGTCGAAGCTGCGCGTCTGAAACGCTGCGTCGAAAACGCTAGGTGTGTAACCAGCTTAATAGTTGAGCTAGAAAAGTGCAGTGATCATGATAATCATGACATGTTCGTGTAAGTGTGTGTATATACGCGATTCGAATTATAATAACAATTATAAATGGAACGTGTACGAAGGGGCGTTGTTGTTAACAAATCGCGCCCGATGATTGCTTTCGTGATCAACGTTAATAACGGACGAATATTATTAGGTATATTATTTATTTAATAAGTTTCTTTTCCTCTCTTTCTCTCTCCCTCTCTCTCACTCACTCTCTATATCTCTGTTTTCTTCTTCGGCGAGTTGAATTATATTGACTTTACGCCTTGGCAATACATCGGCGGCGGTGGAAGTTTTAAGTGTTTAGATTAGATGCGGCATAATGCGCATAGACTTTATTGTAATCGTCGTGTTATAGCGATAGGACGGGGTGATGGGTGCGGGGAGATGAAGTTTTTAAAAAAAAATCGGCTAAGTAGGAATCGGTCGATGAGACATTTACTACAATGTGTATGATATTGTACAAATCATTTTACCAAGACTATTGAGAAAAAAAATCATCAGAATTTCATAATGGTACACCTATATTATATAATCAGATGTGTAAATCCTTCGTTTATGAAATTGTAAACCTACGACGGAAAATAACAGATTATAGCAATAAACGGGTGGAATAAGAAACAAAATGATGACGATTTTGAGTTGTTAAGGTACTACCACCTCCTTTGTCGTTGGGTTCGACTTCACACATATAGGATCCACAAATCACGAGCAACCTCTTGCACCGGCCGTTCCTCAGACACCAAACGAACTAAAAACGTGTACGATTTTAACTTGGTCGCGATCAAGCATGGTTTATATTATACATCTAAATCAACACGTTATAAAAATAACCACACGTCGCTACATAAATTATTACAATAAATATTATTATACGCGTGTGGGTATTAAAAAAAATTAAAATAATTTTATGTTGGAAACGACTTTTATACACTATACACTATATATATTATAACACGAGCGAGTATAAACGGTTAACAAATTTTTCATCTACACATATGTCTAAATTTATACGCGAAGCGAATATAATAAAATAATAATATAAAGACGCGTAAATCGTCTATATGATTTATAAGTCGTTAAATAATTTAAAAACGAAAAACGCATTAATAAAATAAATGCAGTTGCGTATCACACGAGGACTGTTTCTTATTACAGAAAATATTCTATCTTTTTCTTGCCGAATTTCGAACATAACGTAGTGATAGTTGCGAAGTCGTCGCATCGTCATTGAATCCGTTTAACAATATAGGTAAGAATTCCCGCAAATCAGGAGATTATGAAAAAATATATATCGTTGGACGATCGATCCATTTTAAGTAATTTAGTGGAGATACCATACCAGTCTCGTCCGATTATATACCAGTTTCCGACCGGACAAGGAGACAACAATGGCTGACCGATCAGGTGCCATTAAAAATGAAAATAAAGTAATTAAAAAATAAATATGTCGTTTTTAAACGAAAACTCGTGTTTTACTTTTTATTACCATACCATAACATCATTATAATATATTGTGACGTATAAACATATTATTATGCTAGTCGATCGGCGCAAGGTCTTGTCGTGGCGGGTACCTCCTCCGGGTACACAATACTCACGACGTTTATGTTATACTTTTATATTATTATTATTATTATATTCGTCGATCTCTAAAAGTTATAAAATATATTATTATTATAAGTACTACCATTTATGTGAGGCCGAGATTTTTTTTTACATCCCGCATTTATATGACGTGTATGACAGTATAATAATATAAAGATTAAGATTTACAATAAAGTATAAATAGTGACAAATAATAATAATAATATTTAAAAGCCTTATATTAATCGTCTATAATATATTAATATGACGCGGAACTCGCTTCTCAAAGTCTGACAAAACGGGCGCGATTAAATAATTAAATATAAAAACATATAGTTTCTATCGCGATGCTCGACGGTGCGTCAGAAATATTGTATAATATTATTACAATTTATCGGTCTATATATATATATTTATGTAAATTATTATACTCGGGACATGAAATCGGTGAATTCCTAAGTACGTGGTATCGCGTAGTTGTACGGGTGATACCACACTTAATAATCATAATAATAGTAATAATATAATGTCTTTAACAGCGGTGTGTGTACATAATAATAATATATAACACAAATTATTGATGTATATATTATTATAACGACGAGCTTTCTTCGCGCGGGTCATTGGAACGGGGCACGCGATCGGACGAGTGGGTAAGCGCACAAAAATTAATTAAGTCTCATCGAGTCGTGTGTACAATAGGTAGTTATAACCTCGGCGTACATTGCGGGAGACACGAACGCGGAGGCACCTGCAGCAATAGTTTAAACGCAGAAAACGATAATAATACTAATAGTAATGATAATAATATAAAAGCGCCCGCTACGAATTTCTCTTCGTCAAATGAAAATAAATAGTGATTAACTTTTCTGGGCGTGGGAGTGGGATGCGTGCGGCATGGGGGGTTGCAGGTATATACACTGAGCAGTGTATGTGTGTGTGTATATATATATACTATACGACGAGTGGCGACGAGTGGCAGTAGCTTTTTATTAGCTTTTCCGAGTGTAGAAATGGGATATGTTATTATTGAAACACAGCACCGCGTGCCAGGCGCGAGTAAATCACACGTTCGTATATGTATGTATATATATATACACACATACATATACCCACAGCAGGGTGGTGCCGCCGTCACGAATAGTGAAAAATGTGTAATAGTGTTATAACTCTCGTTATAACCACGAAACCGTGGAGCGTACAGTTGGTGCGCACACCTCACCTACACAACTGCAGCAGAGTAACATAAACAATAATAATAATAATCATAGTAATGATAACGACAATAATATAGATATAGAATATTATATCGGAGGCGGTGTCTAACTCGATATTTACTATAACATACCACGGGATATTATATTTATGTGTGTAGGACGCATTATAGGTGTGCGGTATACGTTATATAGTGGTATAATATACAGCTGAGTTGGTATAAAAATAAAACATTACCGTTATTAGCGTTATTATTTTTTAATGATATTGGCCCGCGCAATACGTAATACGTATAATATATTATTATATACGCGCTGTACCTATTTACGAGACGTGGTCGTGGTAATAAACGAGTTTTCATTAAATATTTTATTTTCAAAGTGAGGAAAAACGTGCCAGAGGTTCGTTTATTAAATTGCACTCGTATATTACATACGTATATAATAGGCACGGACGAATATATACCGTCAACCCTTAATCGAGTAAATACACTTATATATAGCCAGTATAAATATATATAACACATACATAGACATATAGGTAGAACACAACGCACAGGCTCGAGAGCGACTAATTGGTTTGGCGTGTGTAGGCGTATTTTCTACAAGGTATGTGCAGATTGCGGTTGTGCGAGTGGCGTGGGGTAGATACGGATTATATAGGACTTTCACGGAGACTATTATTATTATTATCAGTATTCATCATAACACGAATACAACGGTGACAGTGGTTCGATTTTGAGGACATCACAACACGATCAATATGCGGGATATCTGATATCATAAACGAGATTATCGTAGTAGTTTTAAAGATATATTTAGTTAATAGTTTATTATTAATGTGCACGCCTCTGGAATCATCGCAGTAGCTTAGTTATAACTATTATAACGACGTGCAAATTGCACATTGTATATTATGAGTACAAGGAAAATATGTGTTCCTATTTTATAGAGGAAAAGGTAATAATTGTTTAACGCTGTAGTTAGGTTACCGTCGCCGCGCGCGTGCAAAAGTAAAACCGCTGCAAATGCCAAACCCCGCCGGCGGCAGAAGTTCAAGGACGAATTAAATTTATGCAATTTTTATGAGACGATAACACCGTACACAATATTTCCGTACATGATTTATATAATGATATCGTAGGCCTATACGCAAACTATAATATTCTATACTTACAAATAATATAAGTTTACAGACCAGAATAGATAGGGTCATGGAAATTATTTGATTAAGAATTTTGAATTTATTTTAAAATTAAATTATATTATAATTCAATATTTTCATACGTCAATTATAATAAAATTCCTAAAGTTCTTAAATATTTTGATCCTTTTGGCATTAGTAGAGCGGTACTATTATAATGGCTAATGCCATCGATCAAAATGTATAGTGCATGTCCGTGGAAATTGAGCCTTTTGGTTCTGAAAGTTCCACCTCGATAATTTTAAGCTATATTAAATTCCGAAAACTATATACATTAAGCTCATAATGGTTCCCGAAACTTCCCAAGTATATACCTAATAATGATAGTACTGAAAACGTTCTGGGATCATGTCTCTATTTGTATATAATAATATAATTATATTTTGCACAAAATGTTAATATTTAATTTGAAAATGTATTTTTGAACAAGTTTTTTTTTTTTTTGTCGAGTCAATAACGTTGAGAGCAACCGCGCGTTATATATTATAGGTACCTCATAATAAATTCGTTTAATTTCGATATAAATAATACAAATAATTTTGGTATACACATAGGAAATCAGACAGCTGGAAGGAAGAGAAAAAAGAAACGCTACGTTTATAATAGGCAGACTATGGTGACAGCGGCTTTTCGCGACAATTGACAACAGACGATCGCGCGTTTCACAATAATTTGCCGTTACAATGGGTTCGAGAACTAAGGAAAGAAGGAAAGACG